AATAGACCGAAACGTCCGACGTTATATTAACATTAATACAGCATAATTGCATATTAAGATTTTTGTTTGTTTTTTCTGTATTTTTCTTCATATATATATATATATATATATATATATATATATATATGAGGGATGAAAAAAACAATCTTCCACTTTTAAATTAGCATTATAAGTAAAACGATGTAAATTGGGCGAAAATGTAAATGCAAACTGATTTCTTCACACAATGATGAATATATATAGAGCTATATTGGATGGAACTTATAGTTGGACAGAAAATAAACAAGAAGCAAAACCTTTTGCCTTTTTGGCCATTTCAGTCTTAGCATGAAAATAAAACCTCTTAAACACATTGTGTTACTGAATGTCAGAGAATACGAGAGGAAAAAAAGACTATTAAAGAGAAAGAATCTTAAAAGAACAGGAATTAAGAAGACAGAAGATAAAGATTCTCATTGCATTTAAATCTTTCCAGATTAAAGTTGACTGGAAAGCAAGAAGACTGGAGAGATTTCCACGAGCGAAAAGTACGAGAGAAATAATTGTTAACATAGAACTTACGGTTACATCTAGCCATTCAACTGCAAAATGATGAGACCTAAATACTAATCAAGTACTGCGTTTAAATTCATAAAGGCTGAGGTGCCAAAGAGGAAAGCTGATTCCAAAAATTATCATGAAAATATTTATAGAAAAGCTACTTTAACTGTAAATTGTAGGGGATAAATAAATTCGTATAAGAACATGGATATTAAAATTATTCAATTAAGACATTTTCACATTAAAATAACGAGTCTATGTGGTTAATGGAGGGGCGTTTGGTTAAGTCCATTGACAGAAAAGTAGATTGTGTTGAAAATGCACACGTACATACACATGCACACAGACGTGCGTGCGAATACACACACACACACACACACACATATAAATATAGTTGTAGAGTGGATAAACGAAACGGCCAAATATTAGCAGGCGTGTACGCGTGTGCTGGTGTGCATACGCAGGCAAGCAAATAAACGTAGGTACGCGTATATGTACTAATTAACTCACACACAAACACACACACACACACACACACACACACACACATATATATATATGTATTGTTTAAAATTTGTTATAATTACAGGGGAAGACTGCTTAGTGTGGAGGATAGGATAGAGAGTTTGTAGACATAAATCAGTTTCATGCCTAAAAAAAACAGCAGGTTCTTTGGCAGTCAATTGACAGCTTAAGGTTTGACTCTACCACTCACTATATAGTGCTCATTTCTGTGATCTATCTATCTATCTATCTATCTATCTATCTCAGTCTGTTCATCTATCTATCTATCTATCTATCTATCTATCTATCTATCTATCTATCTCAGTCTGTTCATATCTGTTTCAGTATGTTCATATCTATCTATCTATCTATCTATCTATCTATCTATCTATCTATCTATCTATCTATCTCAGTCTGTTCATATCTATCTATCTATCTATCTATCTATCTATCTATCTATCTATCTATCTATCTCAGTCTGTTCATATCTATCTATCTATCTATCTATCTATCTATCTATCTATCTATCTATCTATCTATCTCAGTCTGTTCATATCTATCTATCTATCTATCTATCTATCTATCTATCTATCTCAGTCTGTTCATATCTATCTATCTATCTATCTATCTATCTATCTATCTATCTATCTCAGTTTGTTCGTATCTCTCTAGATTGGAAGTTAGTGTTGAAAAACAGAATATATAATAATAAACGACGCCAACATTTTGATGGTCAACTCTAACGAAATTAGGGCAGTACCTCGTATCTTAATAGGAATAATTTTGTAACCCGACATTCTTTTAAACCATGCAATATTTGATCAAAATATTTTATTCAAATAATCCGATCTTAAATCGTTTGATCTGTTATTCCAACCAAAACTTCTCTCAAAAGATTTTGTTTACTTTGGTTGTCAGTATATATTCATTTTTTATATTGATCTATATAGTAGTATTCTATTATTATTATTATTATTTTTTTTAAATCTGACCAACTTTTGATCAAAATGATTTTATTCCCAAACAGTATTTATTTACATGATTCCATAGTAGAAGGTGATCTAACCAAAATCTATTCGAAATATTTTTGTTTTAGAAATCCTACCAAGATGACTTATCATTAAACAAAATCTTGACATCAAAAGTTATATAGATGACAGCATGGTAATGAATGAAATAAACATGGTGGAATTCCTAGACAAGGTAATAAAGAAAAGTGAGAAGAAAGGACTAACTATCAAGAAGACAGCAAGAAAAATAACCCAAGCTGTGAGGTTGAAGATCACACAAGTACGAAAGATACCTTTCAGACGAGGAATAATCATTTAATGTGTGTAGATGAGTTCGCCTATTACCCGTCTTTTGAACAGGAGTGAGGTTTATCCCTTGTTTTCTGATTAGGATTACGTTTCTAACGTTTACCTTCTAAAGTCTTCTAATTCTTTTTCACACCAAGTAAGCTCTTACATCTTAGTGGCATTATCGCCTTCCTTGGAATGAATTGATAAAAAAAAAGAAGCTGAACGAAATAATAGGAAACAAGGACAATTCCATATGAAAGAAAGAAAAGAGAGCCGAACTGCAATGCAATATCAATTCTCATATGAGGCAGTGAATGTTGGAGAATTTCACGACGGATGAAGAGGAGACTTAAGGTTACAAAGATGTGGTTCTACAGAAGGATGCTGAGAATACAATGGACGGAGAATGAAAGCAACGATGAAGTCTTAAAGGAAATAGAAACAAAATGACATATACTTAGAGTCAGACAGAGAGAGAGAGAGAGAGAGAGAGAGAGAGAGAGAGAGAAAGAGAGAGGAGAGAGGAGAGAGAGAGAATTTAAAGAAGAAAGAATAGTTAGAAAATTAGAATCTCAGAAGATATACTGAAGTCAAAACGGATAATGGGAAAGATCGAGTATTTTGCCTAAAGTGCTTGTGTAAATGCATAGCAAATCAGGGCCTGAGAAGGATCGTAAAAAGATAAATATTACTAAGAGCTGTAAAGGATAGGAAGTTGTGGGGAGCCATGATCACACACGTCGTGAAGGGACGCAGCACATAGAAGAAGAAAATTATACTACTTCTGTTTCATTCAGGTTAGTCAGTTATGTACCATGAGTGATAAACGCTTAGGCGATCATGTATCTCTCGATACATGACTTACGAGGCAGATTTTTTCCCGCAATAGTTTGACATTTTTTTTTGCGGTAGACCAGTTGACATCCACGGCTACAGAACCCGGTCTGTCCTGCTGTTTACCTATAACTGGGGGGTAGTGGTGAAGAAGAGGATTCATGCCTTTCCCAAGGGTATTAGCCCATAAGTGAATGTAATAGATTCGACTGGAATTCGAACTCGGTCCTCCGATTCCTCAATCTGAGCCGCTATCCATTCATTCAGCTACCGTTCCAAAATCCCTGACGGCAAAGTATGAGTTTGAAATCCAAGGCGAACTGAAACTATTCCAGTACAGTTGTGGTCGGCGAAGATACTGGGGAAGGTGCTGGAGATTTAAGAAAAATGATTTTTTATTCGATTTTCAGCAACAACCACGAGTTAATGAATGATTATCTGTAATCTGTGTTTAGAAGTCACCATACTTACTTCCCTTCTACTGCGTTGTCAATCTTCTCCCATGTAAGCAGGTTATCCATGCCTAGTGTCAAAACTCCAGTGATATAAACATTTGACTATATTTCTGAGATGAGGTATTATGTACACTATTTATATTATTCGGTCTATTGTCCTCATCTTTGTCGCCATATTTATTACATTGGTAATTATGTTGAAGAAATCTTCGAGCCTCTGAGAGATATGAACTTGTAGTCTCTGTTTTATCCATTGGTAATTCTGTTGAAGAAATCCTCGAGCATCTGGTGACAAAGATAAGAACAATAGTCAGAATAATGTATAAAAATTTGATGTTTTTCAATATCAAACTGCTTAATGGCTCAGTTTTTTCAAAAAGTCCTTTTTTTGCATAAGCCGTGGCTAGGTTTAAAACTCAGATATAAATGCTTTAAACTCTTTTGCAAAAGGGTATCAAATTTTATGCCATGTCGCCATCATTTCAATCATATAAATTTGAATTCATGTATTTCTCACTAATCAAAATGGTAATATTGTTAAGTACCACCACTTTGGTAAATTATGTGGTTCCTTAGGAAAACGGTCTGGACTGCTAAGTTTCCCCAATAACATAGACAAAAGCGACATTAATCATTTCTAAGTAATTCGAAATAATTTATTTGAAGGCTTGACTAAAATACGTCAAGATTTAAAATGGATGCTCGAATAGTAATCATAAGAGACAGTTTACTTAACATGATCCACATCAGTTCCTTGAATGTGGCTGTAGGGTCGATGCGCAACTGGGTACAGTGCCAGTCCCTCCCCACATGTATTGGTAGGTATTGGTTCTGCATACTGTGTCTTGGGTAGTGTAGACCTGGAGTAGCCTAGTTCAATCGCAGCCGATATTCTCTGACTTGAATGCACACCATAGTCCCGGACACGTGTCCGTAGATTCAGTTGATCTAATAAACTCCATAGACAAGTCTGGTTTGTTTAGGGTGCAGTGTGAAGCCATCTCACACCGTGACAAAACCACCACCAGCTTGAAATGCGCCTTATTGACAACTGAAGCAGCTCTGGTTACATAGAGGCATGCGCTAGGCATGAGTTCTATCTTCAGCCTGAAATAATTGAGACTGTGAGTCTCACTCATTGCGAGTTTTTCAAAGCCCATGATGAGGCGCTGTGTCCGATGTCACGGTGTTGTCAGAGGATGCCATATCCTGTGGGTGCTAAAGAATGCTGAACTGGCCTGCTTGATATGTAAATGGTACCGAACGTGGATGTACTTTGTACCAACGTCACTTGTCTGTTGCCGCAGACAATTTCATGCAACCGGTTCTTGTAAAGATTATTAAGTATTTGCAGTCGGCCACTGTCATACGGTCATATCATGTTGAAACACGTTCTCATTCGATCACTGAAGTTAAGCAACGTTGAGTTTGGTCAGTATCTAGATAGGTAACCGTTTGTGAATAGCAGGTCCTGTAACCTTGGATGTGTGGACGGTGTGAAGGATAAATGTTTATCGGATAGCCAACTTCAAATTCCAGTCGAGTTCGTCACATTCACTTACGCTTTGGGAAGGTATGAATCCATCTGCCATCCCGCCATCTATGGGTTAAATAGTAGGATAGAATGGGTTCTATAGCCTTGCTTGACATTTAGTCTACCGCAGAAAGTAGCGTCAGCATCAGCATATTGTGGGTGATTAATTATTTTCCATTCTATAGCTCTTTCCCCACAGACTAAATTTCGCAAGCCTATCGCTATTTCCATGGCAAATGTTCTGACAAGCTGCATTCATTAGTTCCACCAGTTCAGACATTCAAAGCCTTGGATGAATCATCACCACTTCCATTCGGACAGCTTCTTTCCCAGAAGCTGTGTTTCCTGGGCATGGCGATAAACTACATCCGCATCCTGGGTAAAACGATAAACTACGCCCGATAGCAAGACCTCTGATCAGGAGGTTTTTTTGAGGAGCGTGGAACGACCTCTTAATTGCTGATGTTCCCAGGTCTATTCTGACTCGGTGTGGTAGCACCTGTTAGGGTCCCAGCTATGGGCAAATAGTTAACCCCCAAACTGGAGTCAAAACACTATGAAAGTGTAAAAACAGGTTTTATTACAAGCAATACGTTTTTATAAAAATTATTACCAGCAACAAACTTTTCAAGAAAAAATTGTTACCAGCAATGTGTTTACGAAAAACTATTACCAGCAATATATTTTTGAAAAAATATTACCAACAATACATTTTTGAAAAAAGAAATATTACCAGCAATACATTTTTGAAGAAAAATATTACAGCAATACATTTTTTAAGAAAAGAATATTACCAGTAACACGTTTTTGAAGGAAAAAGTATTACCAGCAATACATGTTTTAAGGAAAAGTATTACCAGTAATACGTTTTTGAAGAAAAAAAGATTTTTTTTGAAAAAAAAAAAAAAAAATACCAGCAATAAAAATCTTGTCGGCATTAAATAACCCAGTGAAATGCTGTAAATCAAACCAAACCAATCTCAATATCTGCTATATACATATACATATATATATGTATGTATGTATGTGTATGTATATGTATGTATGTGTATGTGTATATATATGTATATGTGTGTGTACTTAGCTGTGTGTGTATGTGTGTATATATGTGTACATATGTAGGGGTGTGTATATAGGTATATGTATGTGTATGTATGGATGTACATGTATGTGTATATATGTATATTTATGTATACGTATATGGATGTATGTATGGGTAGATGGATGGATATATATGTAGATGGATGTATATGTAGATGTGTGTATATATGTGTGTGTATGTTTTGGTATGTATGTATTTATATATATTTGTATATGGGTGTATATGTACGTACATATATATGTATATATATAGTTAGACGGATAGATATAGGGATACATTGTCTATTTGTTTAAATGGGTGTATATAATTGTATAGAAATGTAAGGTTTTAGGTATATATGTTTATGTGCACGTATGCGTATGTCCGTATGTATATATGTGGGTAAATGTGTATATATATGAAGGGCTGGATGCGGATGGATGTATGTGTGTATATATGCATGTATGTGTATGTATGTATTTTTGTATATTTTTGGTTTATATATATATATATATATATATTATATGTGAAAATATATAGAAAATAGGAAGCAACTGGTTAGGTAAATAATCCAAAGTCTCTTAGTATTTTAGTTATTATTTTTAAAAAATAGTGCTCGATGCAAAAGTAGAGCATAAATATAATTATTTATTTAAAAATATGATTCCAAATCGCGACATAAGAAGTCCCATGTTTCAAAACAAGAGCCGAAAACTTCAATATAATTATTTAAATTAAATTGAGTTAAAATAAGCTCTGTTCCATCTTCAAGCGAAATTTTTTTTTTGAATAACGTGTTTCTGAAATTTACGTGTTTTAAAAATTGAAATCAAAATTTCCATGGTAACAGCTAGGGCGAATTGTTTAAATTGGGTAGGCGGGTGTTGGGTGTTAATAATAAGTATCAGTATAGAGTTACTTTCGTAGATGTCAAGTCAGGGAAAAGTGGGGGTGTCTAAATTTGAAACGGAAGATGTATTAACCCTCGTCTAGTTTGCATGTCTATGGAGATTTATTTATTTTTTTATTTTATTTTTTATGAAAGGGATTAGTGCATATAAAAAACTGTCATAACGTTTGTTTTTTGACGACTTCATAAAGGGTTATCTTTTTTTAGGGTATTTAAACTATTTATTTGGGCTATGGATTATGAAGGGTGTTATATTGTATGCATGATTTTAGTTAATTATTCAAACCATGAATCTGATGATTGGGCTATGGATTAAACAAGTTATTATATTGTATGCTAGTTTTTACCTAATAGTTCAAACCAAAAATCTGATGATGCCTACAAAAAACCGTTAACTCGTGTCTATTGTTTAATAGATTATTATTATTTAGAAGCTTAATTATGTGCAATTTCTCATGGAGGCATAAAGGGCATGGGTCATCCCAAGTTTTACATGTTCTAGCCTTGTTAATAATTTTTGATTTAACTTTAGGTGTCCTATTTGTTTCCTTCAGATGCCAAAAATATTTAGATAGGGAAGTCTGATTTTTTTTGTTTATATTATTGAAAGAACACTTATGATGCCTCCATCTATCTTTAAAATCATTCTTCGTGGACCCAATGTATATCTTATTAGTGCTAGGGCTCTCAGTGGATGATATAGTACATTGGTATACCACAGATTTAATGCAGCATTTATTTTCTAATGGGCAGTCTTCTAGGTTTCTACAATTACATAATTTTTCCCTTTTATCGTCTGATTTAAGTGCAGGGTTTTTATTAATACTGCTTAGGCATGGGGGTTTGTTCAAGATCTTATTATTGTGTTTTTTTTATTATACGTTCAAGATTTTCAGAGCAGCTGTAACTCAATTTTAGGGTGTTCTTATTGAATATATTACTAAGCTTACTATTGGTGGGGAAGTGTTTATCAATTAGGTTTAAGAATTTTTGTCCTAGTTTAATATTAACCATTTGGTTGAACGGAGGGGTGTACCAAATGATTTTCATTTTCCTGTTTTTTTTCCTATGGCCAGTGCAATTGTCTCTATAGTTAATGTTAGCATTTTTATAACCACTATTTTTTAGGGCAGTGTTATAGAAGCCATTGTGTTGTTGGAATATTTCCGTGTTAGCGGAGTTAATGCTAATTCTATTTTCTATTGATGAGGGTATATGTTTAATTATGGAAGGAGGGTGGTTTGACTTCGGGTGTATATATAAAGGGTTAGCATTAGGTTTACTATAAGGTTGGTATGTGTTTCCAGGTAAGTCTAGAGTTACGTCGAGGAAGTTTACCCTTTTTAAATTAGAAGAGACAATTATCTTTAAGTTTAGTTTTTTAAATTCACTAAATATAATTTTTCTGATTTTTTCAATCTTAAAACTAGTAGAACTCCTCACCACCATGAGCCCGTCATCTCTATACAGTCCGATGTCCTTAATATCAATTTCGCGGTGTGCCGTTAAGTTGTACAGTATCAGAAGACCAACAAGGTCAGAAGACTCTGCAGAGTCTAATGATCCCATAGTGATGTCAAACAGGTCGTTATTGTTTTTTATCCATTGGTCCCCATTGCGACAGTTTTTTTATATGCACTAATCCCTTTCATAAAAAAATAAAATAAAAAAATAAATAAATCTCCATAGACATGCAAACTAGACAAGGGTTAACACATCTTCCGTTTCAAATTTAGACACCCACACCTTTCCCTGACTTGACATCTACGAAAGTAACTCTATAATGATACTTATTATTAACACCCAACACCCGCCTACCCAACTTAAACAATTCGCCCTAGCCGTTACCATGGAAATTTTGATTTCAATTTTTAAAACACGTAAATTTCAGAAACACGTTATTCCAAAAAAAAATTTCGCTTGAAGATGGAACAGAGCTTATTTTAACTCAATTTAATTTAAATAATTATATTGATGTTTTCGGCTCTTGTTTTGAAACATGGGACTTCTTATGTCGCGATTTGGAATCATATTTTTAAATAAATAATTAAATTTAAATAAATATATATATATGTATGTATGTATGTGTGTATGTATATATGTATATGTGTGTGTATGTGTGTATATGTAAGGGTGTGTATGTATATATGTATATGTGTGTGTATGTGTGTATATGTAAGGGTGTGTATATATGTATGTATATGTGTGTATATGTATATATATATGTATGTGTGTGGATGTGTATGTGTGCATACACACATATAAATGCATATGTATGTGTATGTGTATGTGTGTGTATATATATATATATGTATATGGATATAGATGAATATGTGTATGTGTGGATATGTGAATATATTTTTATATTTTTATATGTGTGTTCATGGGTATATGTATGTGTGTATGTGGGTACACGCCTATGTGTATGTATATACGTGTATATGTTATTGTGTATGTGTGTATTCGCATGTGTTTTTGAACATAGAATTATAGGTCCTTGCTAGATTAGATAATCGTTATATTTATTTTTTATATGCTAATATTTGATTTTTAACCTGTAGTCGATATTAAATTTGTCAAATTTTCTCAATTACAAAGCGACCCTTTAAGTAAACGCAATTTTACTTTCCTTCGCCCCATCTCTCTCCCCCACCTCGTCTTTCCCTCCCTCTTATTCTAACATTAGATTGTTTATGGGGTGTGTATGTCACCACGAAATGTATCTTTATGCATTAGACATCCGACAACATTCATTTTTCTCTTACTTAAAACCCTTCCACCCACCTCTCCTAAAATTCTCTCTTTAAGGTTTAATCTCCTCCTCCTCATACTTACACTTTCTCTAAATTCTGTTTTTTATTTCCGGAGTTGTTTTTCTGTTTTCTTTTGAATTTGTAGGTCTGATGAATTGGATCGTATTTACGATTCCAATGGAATAAATTATGACCATG